TGACTGTCTCTCCCGGCAAGCTCCCTGTACCGACTAGAATCGGGGCGCAAGTGACACACCCCTGACTAACTGGAGCACCAGATTTCCCTGCGCGCTGAGTGCTACCTCCCACTTAGCTTCCTCCCTATGCTGCTCTAATGACTTCATTTATCCTGCTGTCCTTTGCGCATTGTGTGTACAGCCCTGGTTCCTGCTGGGAACGACGAGGAGTAGAATGAAAACCTAAGTCCTGAGCCTGTTCTGTACAAGGCATTGTGCTGAGCTCTGAGGACATGGAGATGGACAAAGCCATCCCTGCAGAGGACATTTATAGACCTCTGACGTCCAAAGTAGTGTGAACGTCATGGAAATAGTCCAACGTGCTACTATTTCAAAGGGGTGATTGAGGAGGCTTTGTGGAAGAAACAGCACTTGAGCTGGGTTTGGAGAGAGAAACAAGTGTTTAACAGGTAGGAAAAAAGGACTGTGGCGAAGCAGTGAGAGCTAGGGAGGCTCAGCAGGTGTGTCTTTGGGAGCGACTCCAGCCCAGGTTAGAGGAGGATGGAGTCACAGAGGACGCAGCTGGAAAGGAGGTGGCGGCCGCGGAGCAGACGTCTCTTCCTCGTCACCACCAGCATCATCCTCAATAAACACCTGTGTAAGACACTAACACTAAAACTGCAGTGAGTGTGCAACTGTAATGAGGTGTCAACCTTACTCTCAGGGGACTTATAGTCGATGGCGGAGTGATAGGAGACACAAGTTATACACAGAGTGGCACGTGATCGTTTTTTTAATGCCTTAAGGGTTTAGGATTGGGGTACAGTCCCTTAGGGTTGAAATGGCTAGTGGAGAGCTCTTTTGAGGAAGGAGGATTTGAGGGGGCCTTAAAAGCAGGCCTAAGGCACCAGAAGGCAGGTGACTGTGTCACAGGCAGCAGATGGTAGCGAGTAGACAAGGACATGTGTGGTATGGGGGAGAGGGAACGGAGACAGAACAGCTTCACTGGAAGACGAAGTTTGTGAAAATGGGGGCAAATTAGAAGAGAATTTTGATTTAATGTAATACTAAAGATTTAATATACTGTCATAGGGAACAGGTTTTATTTTGCTTTAAAACAAATAATGAATGTGGCATAAAACTGTTAATGTGTTAAACAGCAGTTTTGAATATTAAACTGCTGAGCATTATGAGGGACACACGGGAATGGGAGCGATGCAAGGCCATCCGGGAGACGGAGTGATGCGGCCCAGATTAAGATGGTAGCTTAGGACCGGACAAAAAATGCTCAGAGAGTCAAGGAAAAGGCAAAGTCCACGCTCTGAATCCTCGGAGGACAGAGTGGGGACAGCTCGCCTCAGGCAGGTGCCTCCCGCATGGAGAGAGGATCCTGAGGCTGTGTCCAGGCTCAGCTGGAAATTACACCACATTAGGTTACTGCTGCTGCCATGGCGAAGGACGAAGGCAGGGAGGTACACACACACCACGCAGCTGCCACCTTCGTGCTATGGACCAGAGGGAGGAGGATGTGAGTGTGAAATGGACCTGCAATACAGTCACTTCCAGGTGAGGTCCTGGAGAGTCAGCGAGCGGACCAGGTGAGGCATTTCAACTCACAATTCCTGACATCAAGTCCACTGCAGGAATGCCATAAATGCTTGAATGAATGAAGACTGAAAACAACGATTTCAATTTTACCTGTAACATTTGTTGGCTCTGAGTTGTAACACCAGGTAGCACCACGCAGCTAGTTGTTTTGGGAGATTAAAATAAATAAATAAAATTAGGAGCCCAGCACAGGGCCAGCCACACTGTGGGCTTCAGCCTTTAAAATGAGCATCTGAAGGTGTGGGCTCTGCTGTCGAGATGCTCCCAGGAGATACACGTGGAGGGGGCCCATCCTCCTCCCACACGGCAATACTGACTATTTTCCTCTAAGTTGTTACTCTGCTGCCAATGACGGAACACATTTATAGCGCTCTGGCACATCCATGCAGGCACACAAGATCTTTCAAATTTTTGACTTCCAAAAGAGATTTAATGCTGGGTGAAATGTGCTAATTTACCAATGCTGCCCCACTTTCTCCTCAGTCCAGAAATCACACCTGGGTATCCTGCCTATGAAACAAACTCGCCTATTAGAAAGTTACTTATCTAATAGATAAGCATGATATCGGGGGTGGGAGGGCAGTAGATTGGGGGGGGGGATTGTTACTTTGTGAGGGTGAAAAGGATAACTATTGCATTGTTCTGTACACCTGAAACTAACAATATAAAAAAAAAAAGTTACGTACCTGATCCTTTGCTCATCTCTAAACCAGTTTTAAATCCCATCCTTGAATGTTTGCGTACAAGGTTCCCGAAGTCCTACTGGTACCCGATGCAATATGCTAATTTATCCTGTAGGCAGCAATGACCTCAATCACGAGGTTACTCCTCTGGAGAGAACTCTGCCAAACATGCTGGAATCTTGCATGATGGGGGGTGGGATGGACCCACGCTGACCTGCTTCCATGTCCCTTGGCTGAGAAGCCCGATCAATCTCTGAGGAGCCCTGAGCCCAGGCTGCAGTGCGGGAGCGCTGCCAGGCCTGGGGGCCTGGGTGGTGGGGCAGGTCCCAGGACCAGCTGAGTTCAGCCCTCCCAGTGGCACTCCCCTGAGGACACTACCGTCCTGGTTTAGGTGCGGGATGGAGATACCACCAGGGATTCCCCTAGCGCAGGCCTTTAAGTTTCAACTCTGTTTTCACTACAAAAAAAAATGCCTTAGAAAGTTTTTAAGTAGATTTTGAAGTTTGTAACACATAAAATATTACTTGAATCACACTACAGATTTGAAACCTATAATAATTTCAGGCTAGGCCAGAGTAAGCAAGCAGTAAAACTGTTTTCTAACCAAACTGATGGTATAAATGGAATCAGAGGGCTAGATAACTTAAACTTTTTAGCCTGTGAAAAATTTACGCAGTGCCTTCTGTGGCATTTAATATGCTAATTATAAATGCTTCTTATACACTATGACTCAACTCAATTAGGCAACATTTTTAAACTTTAAGAATTGTTTTCTCAAAGTAATTAAATACCTCCTACAATTATATATAATGATTGTAGTGTTTTTTACTAACACAAACAAGCTTAATTTCTAGTAAAACAATAACTGCTGGTAAATACAGTTTATTTGTGCTGTTTATTGCTGACAGATGAAGTTTCCACAAATAGAGAATTTTACCTAGAAGCTGGGCTTTTGCTTTAACTGGCCATGAAAAAGTACACATCAGATTCAAGACTCACTGATCAGGCCAACCAGGCATTCTAAAGGACTGCATCCTAAAGGTAAAACAATGGTACCTGAGAATGAGAGAGAGAGGATTTCTCCGATCTAGGCCCTGTCCTTGGCTGGGCAAAGATGGACATTCAGAATGCCCCATCATTCTATGAAAACAAAAGCAATCTATGATATTTATTTATAATCTAACTCTTAAATTAACCTCTTATCTAACACATCACAGTTTACTCGTACATGAAGAAGCAAAACCAGCCTCTAATCCCCGTCTGAGGAAACAACAGACTTACCACTTAACTTGTTTCAAGGAAATTTAAAGTCTTTTACTTGGCTCTGCTGCCCAGACAGCTAAATCGAGTTTTAATTTAACAACCATGAAAACACCTCATGTTACTGAAAAATATCTTCATCAACCTGGCCTCTTTTGAATGACATGTGCGCGTGTGTGTATGTGTAACAAACCCTTTAAAAAGGAACATTTAGTTTGGAAATAAACATCAAGATGCACGGATAATTTTTAAAAGTTTTAACAATTAAAACTGTACACCATTGTAAAAACTGTGGTCGCCACTGCCGAGCACTTACGCACACTGATTTAAGGAGCACTTCACAAGTACTACAAAAACCCTAAGGTAGACACTGTCATTATTCTGTTTCTTCTAAACTGACAGACAAGAAAAGCAACTCGCCAAAAGTTCCAGTTAGTGCTGGCGGAGCTGGGGTTTGAGTCCAGACAGACTGTCCTGAGGTCCGCACTCAATTACCCCACTGCCACACCACACTGTATGTGTCCCAATGCTACGACCTCATTCTTAAGCTTACACTAAAAGCTGGAACTCTTTTTCACAAAACCCACTAACTAAGCCAGTTCCCTTCCACCGAAGTGTAAAATTATTTTATAAACCTAAAGGTAGCCGTTTACATTCATCCCTCTAGTAATTCATAGAGGTGGCAACAAGACAGCAAGCAACCCCCCTAATTAAAAGTGAAAAAGGAATCTTCCAAAGACAGCAGGGACATAAAGACTTTAAAAAATGTATTAAAGAGAGTATTGTTAAAAATAATTAAGCACAATAAAATCAGAGAGAAAAAGTTCTCTGATTCAGTCATAGCATTAACTATGTTCTAGAAACTTCTCTTCTCCATTAGTTCTCCCAAACACTATCAGCGTTCAAGATCATAGTAGGGACAAAACTGAAGACAACTTAACCTGTCTCAGAGACATGTCATACTTCCTATGTAAAATTATTACTTGAATTCTTGCTACCCTAGCAGGGATATTCTATGGACCTCCTGGGGGCTGGGAGGTGGGTAATGGGAAATGCTATAAACTTCAGGGTCTTTCCAGGGCCAACAGCCTTGTGATCTTGAACTGGAGGGCAGATCTCAGGTCAGTCCTGTGGCCTGCGGGGGCCAGAGCAAAGCTTCCGAGAAGTTTTAGCCTGTTCTTTCTATGGAACAATCTTCTAGTGTATAAAATATAAAAATGAGAAGATATAAAGAAAAAAATATATCAAGAAATGACATCCTTAATGCCTAGTAAGTGTCATAGAAGAGTTTTTGGAGCTATTTACCAAAGAAGTTTGTGAATTGTCTTTAAAAAGACACATCAAGGCTCTCTATAGGAGTCTATTGAAAATCTTACCACTTGCATTCGTAAATGGAGACACACAACACACGTCTGCAGTGTGTGCGTGGAAATGGTTAGGCTGGCTGATTTTCAGTTAAATAGTACTTACATTTAAAGCTGCTTCTCCACACTTTTCGATTGCTGCAAGACCCTGATTATGAATGTGCGTCTCCAGCAGTTTTTTCAATTCTCCTAGGCCATCCTGGATTCTAGATACAAGATTATACATGCGACCCAAATCTGAAAGGAGGAGGAGCCACTTTTATGCACTGAAATAAACTCTGCATATTCATTCCATTAATCATGTGTTTATATTGAGATGAAAGATACTGAAATAAAATGACCATGTTTTTAGACCCTAATAATAAAAGTACTTAATTTACAATAAAATAGTTTGTATTTAGTATATGTATATTTAACTAAAAGTAACAATGACGTTTCTCTATTGTATGTTTATTTTCCCCCTTACTATAAGAATCCACTAACATAATAGAGAAAAAAAATCTTTTTATCAGGGAACATCTGACACTTCCTAAACATGGAGATATCATTTATGCCTGCAGTATAACAGGCACATATTTATTTTTAAAAATGAAATTTAAGGCGAATACAAATATCCACTTCAACTATACAAACGAGTCACAAAAGGACCCCCCAATTTTTCATTTATTATATGTATGGTACATGACTAGTTTATGAGGGCCAAAGAAGAAAAATCCCAAATCCAAATGCCAACCTTTCATTGAGCTTCTAACATGTCCCAGTAAAACATGGGAGGGGAAAGAAAAATACAAAATAACAGCCTTTTCATCTTAAAGAATTTTCAAAAGAAAAACATTAAAAAAAAAAAAATTAGGGGTAGTATCATTTAATGCTAAAGTCATGGAATAAGTTATATTTCATATTAAACTGAAAAGATGCTCTTCTCCCAAAGCCATACCCCCAAACACTCTACAGAGATCAATCAATATATAAGGTAGACAATCACATATTAATCTTTTAAAAAAATGAGTGATGTTGGTAATGCTGTTAACTCTTAAGAACTTCAAGGTCAAAACTGCAGATTGTAATAAGTATCTACAGTTTGGGAGTCTTAGCGGCTCACCTTCATTTTTATCAGCATCCAGTAAGTTCTGAAACTCTGTGTGGAAGATTTCCAAATGCTTCTCAATGAGCACCTGCTCACACTTCCTTGCTAGCTCGTCCTGGGTGCTTTCGTGAAGATAGACCTGCACTCTCCGCTGTTCCTCGAGCAGACGGGCCTCTGCCTGGAGAAATTAATTCAAGTGAACGGTCTGAATTCATTTTTAAAGAAATGTTGTGTGAAAAACGACAAATTAAACTCACAAACCTGCTCCAATCACATATGATTTAAGAAAAAAGGGGGAGGGGTTATCTGATTGTAGGGTGAATGCCATATTTAAGCAGGCACTGACGGGTTCCATTTTTTCTACAATATGTATTTCCCATTCAAACTGCTCTTTAAATGATTTACCGAGGTTATAATTATAACTTTTCTTCCTTTAGCTAGGTGGTTTTCCACCGTTGGGGGTAATACCGCTCGCTACCTGACACTCTGAGATACCTGCTGATCCTCTCCCCTATACGCAGCACACCAAGAACCACTACTTTTGACTGAAAGCTGCTTGAAGTCAAGAGTCACATAAATATAATCCCTGAAATGACCACATGGAAATAATTATTAGTAATTAGACTTTAAAAAGGCTTTTTTATGGCTAATCTCTTGCCAATCACTAACTATATACCTCTGAAATAGACTGGATTACTTATGCATCTCAATTTCTTACATTTCCCTTCAAGAAAGAAAACAAAGATACAATTTAACAGAGCAGCAAAATTAATGAAAGTCATATGTGTGGTGTAAAGTATCATCAAGGAACCACTACATTTTCAAAGCAAAATAGAAATTTGAATGATAATCTGAAATTATTCAGGTGATCTGAAAAACAGAGACAAAAACTATTTTGTGTTATAAAAATGCCAATCCTCTCCAAAATGATTTTTAAATTTCGTATAATTTTAGAGAAATCTGGAAAAATTCACCTGGAAGAATAAACATGCAAGAGCTAAGAAAACATAAAATAAAACAACGGCAAGGCAGGACTGGCAACTGTCAGGAATTAATAACAATGGGATAACTGTTTAAACTGTAGAACAGAAGTTAGAGCCTTACACATTCTAAATAATGAGTTAAATGTGAACAATAAAATAAACTTGGAAAATAGTATGTGTCAAAAGGTGATTACAAAATTCTTTTTAAGAACAATGAGACATTTCTGTGCTTTAACTTACAAGTTCTGAGAACCTGCTGCTTCCTGTCTAGTGTTTCATCAAGCCCAATAACCTCAAGCGCCAAAGCTGACGAAATGTAGGACACGCACACCCAAAAGCACATTTTTTTGGTTTTACGTTATATCTGTTTCCCAGGAGAACATAACCATCTTGGGCAGCAAAAACTCATCTCCCTTAAAAACTTTGCTTTCTCCTGCAACTTACTTTTACCCCTTCCCAACAAGGCTGAGGCACTCTCTGGGGGGCACTGGCTTTCCATCTCTTGTACAAATAGTAGCATTCTAGCGATTACAGAAACATCAAAGGCCAGAGAGGCCTCATGAATCACTTATTTTACATATAGGTAAAAAAACCAAGGTCCTACGTGTTGTATTATTAGGCTTCAGGATTCTTTGTTGGTTCAAAGTCAGGCTCTTGATCATCACTGTACTTGGCAGGTAAGCATATTAGAACACCAAGATCAAATTCAAAATTATTGACTAAATAAAGACTATCCCTATTAATTCTAGCAGGATCATTTTGTGGTAAAAAAACAAAGTGAAAAACAAAACAAAAACTGCAACAGATCAAAAAAGAGAAGCAAATTAAATGAAGGTATATTTTATTTTTAAAGTTTTTTTTTTTAATGACTCTAGAAACCTAGGATAGTCATACTAATGTTTTATAGCTCAGATTGGTCTCAATTACATGCGACAGTAAGATACGTCAAAACGCTGGTGTGGCCAAGGGCTGTTCCCTCATGGAAGCCATCCTCGGAGACAGAAGTCTCCAAGGATTCTTAAATGTTTCCACTCAAACACAGGCCCCCAGGGATTCTGCACAGCTAGCCCAAGTTGGCTTCTGAAAGCAGAATACGTATTTCCGGATGTTCACGCTTTACCTCAATATTGTTCACAGTTTTGTATTCTATTTCCTGATAGAACATTTTAATATGAATATAATTTCTCCTTAAGTTACTGAGTAAAATGTGCAACCTTTTCTCCTGTGGTTTTGCATATACTGCAGATTCTGAAAATGTGTGTGTGTGATACCAAACACTTTTAATCTTTACCAAGCACCAAATAGAACATATACATATAAAGTACATATTTGAATTAGCTTATTATTCCCATTTTACAGATAAGGAAGCTGAGGAACAGGTTAGGGACAACCCTCTAGTGAATGGTGGGGTAGGGAATTTTAAAGTTTTGAGCTGCAAGGCTATAGAGAGGGAAAAGCAGAACTGTTCGCATGGTTAATTCCAACTTTCTGCTTACAGGCTGTCTGCGTGAGGACTTCCAGAACGTGAGAGAAGTCACGTTTGGTAAGATGCACCTGGGTTTGGATCAAACCTTTCATCCCCCCAGAAAGAAGTCGCGTCTAAGAGAACCGGAATGCGGGCAGCACGCTTGCTTCCTTGAAGGCGGGGCTCAGGCTGGATTGGAAACACCCAGGCGGTCCAAAACCTCCGCTCTCCAACTTGCTGATGTGAAAACCAGACCGCCCTGCTTCGGGGGTGCGTGTGTGGCTCGACCTAAAAGGCTGATTTCTGTTACACCAGAGTGTAGTCTCCTCGGTGTGGATAACGGACTGGACCACAGCTCACTACAAAGTCCCTAAAAAGAACAGATCGCACCACCACCGTGGACGTTGTGTACCTCGATAAAGAAAAAGCCCTGCGGGCTTTTACAACACAGGCTGCTTGAAACGACTGAAAGATGTGATTCTGAAAACTACACTGCCCAACTAAAGTGAAGTAACAGGCAATGCTAGGATTCCAACTGTATGTTCATGTCAGGCAATGTCTGAAACTGAACGAGCTGTTTAGTGGTTAATCCAGGTGGGCATACAAAAGCTAACGTCACCCATAAACATACGCAAAGAACTGCTACTATTCCAAGTATAACACTTTTGAAGAATTTTGAGGTATCAGAAATTTGTTTGTCAAAGGCTTTCAACTTCAAACTTCCCAGGCCCACTTATCATCCCTACCTCCACCCATCGGAAAACACTTAGAACATCACACACAATCGGCAGGACTTTCTGACTCGAGAGGGAGCTGCTGCTCTCACCAGGCTGACTTCCTAACTCTGTGTCCCGGCCTATGGAAACAGGGACTGCACTGCACGTGCCCTCCAAGTGAACAGAGCAGGTATCAGACACAGGTGGCCCAAGACTCCTGGGAAACCTTACACATGTCGGCCAGGGGTCAGCAAACCATACAGCCCAGGGGCCAAGCCTGCCTGCGAGTGACGTTTTAGCAGAACACAGCCACACTCCCTTGTGTACATGTTGCCATGGAGCATGGGCACCGCAGTGGCAAGGCTGCAGCTGCAGTGGAGACCACACATTGCACCAAGTCTAAAACACTTCCTCTGTGGCCTTCGTGGAGCTCGCTGACTCCTGACCTAGGCCATTCCTCAGGGCATAGGTCTAGGATACCTGTATTCCCAAGACAGAGAACAGTAACATTTACACTACAAGCTCCATACAACACCACTTAACACGGGAAAAGATTCCCTCGAGACCCATTGTGGCCCTTCTCCTACACAAAGAGCTAGAGCCCATCGTTTCAGAAGCACCTCTGCTCTAACGCAGACTGAAGGCTGTGTTACGGAGTGTTAGGGGTGCTTTCGCAGCAAAGAAGCTTGAAGTTTGCAAATCTGAGACTATTTGTGAGAAATGTTATTTTCTCCTTGACATGGTGAGACTGTGGCTCCCAGTAGAAGCAGAGATACATTCTAGGAGAGCAAGTTCAAAACACACAAGTCATACCGTTATTACGCTGTATCCTTAGAACAGTAACAAGGACAGAGTCCTGATTATTAAACTGATTTACAGAAACTCCTTGGTGACTCAGAAGCCCTGGCCCCTGCTACAGACACTGGACAGTAACATGGCCCAAGAAATGACTTCTGGAGAGAGCTGCACATGCTAGAGAGAAGAACCCCTCTGAGCAGCCGTAACTTTTGACTGCAGTCCCCTTGCAGCACCACATTGAAGCTTACCTTTTTCATATATTCAGTAACTGGGTTCTGCTGCAAGAATTCAGTGCTCTCTCTGGTATAAAATCTCTCTGTGTCAGCCAAAAATTGAGACTCAAAAGATTCTTTGTACACTGTTAACGTTGGGCCCTTAGCAAACGCATCGTCTTCATTCAGCCCCAATTCCACTAGAAAGAAATAGGAACTATATTTCAATTACCCTATTTTTTGTTGTTGTGTTTTACAGACTATACTTAGGTGTAGCATCCAGTTTAAGTAATGTTTAACAGGTAAACGTGAAAACAGTATACTGTTTCCAAAAACAGAGTAAAATCCAAGACATACAAAACCAATTAATTTTGACCCATGGCCAGGCATGCTTCAAAGTCATCATGAATTATTTAGAAAACTTATATTTCCTAAAAATGTAAAAAGAATAAAAATGACTAATTTTAAACTTGTAAAGAAATACAATGCTACCTAAGTTTTTAAAAATTGTATTACTTTATTGGTTTCTCAATCTTAATTTTTCAAGTTGATATAAATTTCTGGTTATAATTCACCTCTATTAACGACAATATCATATTATATATCCAGTAATTTAGTATGAGGCCAGAAAAGAAATTAATTCACATGCCTCTTCCATCAAAATTTCCTTTGGGTACAAGGATCAAACTATTTTTATGATGCGTAATATCAAATGGATTCACACAGAGAATTATGAGCACCTCTCTAAATGCTAACAATATTCTTGCTAATACTAAAATATCTGAAAATAAATCTGGTGGAATATTGTTATAACATTTGATGTGAAAACTTCGAATAAATTAAAAGGAAAATTGTTTACCGTAAGACTGTACAACTCCACTAATCAATCTTGTATTGATGGTTTCACCATTTCTTTCCTTTTCAATCAGTTTTAAAACAGCATTTGTTACCTTTATAAAGGGTATAGGAAAAAGATATGTATGTTATAGGCTACCGTATGTTTAGTATTACTACATAGCTCTTAAACATTTAAATCGATTAGATAATGTAAGAGGAGAGATACTCCTGAGACATTCCAAAGGAGGAAGACAATAGCTAAGAAATAAAATCTAAGGGATTTTAAAAGGAAAGCAACCACACAACCCACACAAGCAGGTACCTGTTTATTCAACGGCCTGAACAGACAATCTCTCCAAGTCACCAACGCCAGCTGGGTGAAAAGAGGAAAAGTATAAAATGTCTATACTTTTACTAGGTTTTACTAAGACTGAAGTCATAGGACATAGCCTGAAATATTTATCGATATTTCTCTATCATTGCAATGAAATCTGAGAGCCACTCTCGAGTTAACAACTTTAAGAGGTACCAAAGTACAGATGTTTATCAGTTCACATTTTAATAATTAAGATAAAAAGAAAATTTGGATTTAAGGAGAACATACATATCAGCTTAAAGGACAACAGTGGATTCAAGCTATAAAATTGTTCCCTGGGCCAAATTAATTTTTGACCTTACACATTTAATAAAGTTATTTCCATTTATCATCACAGTTTTCTAATACTCAGTAAAATAAATAATAGACTATAAAAATCTAACCAAGTTCTGTATCCTGATTGTGGTGATTTGTTTCATGGATTTATATAAGTGTAAAGGCATCAAACTACATGTTAAACAAATATAGTTTATTGTACATAAATTATTCAAATTTCCCATTTTACTTATTCTCCTGGGGGATATGCATATGATACATTTTAAAAAAGATTTTTAAACTCCCACAGTATATGTCACAAAATCACTATAAAAATGCTCTCTCCCCAAAAGAGAAACGTTATAATTTGCACATGACTTTTAAACTTTTTGTTGAGAGGCATACTATTCAGTTAAAATAAAATTCAAATTTGTATTAACTTAACACTCAAATGCAAACTGTTGAGAAACTCATTTAAACATAAATGCTATCAGTCTTATTTTTACCAAATGTAACCATAGATAAAACTGGGTTTATGTAAGATATAGATTTCTGAAAAGACGATGTAAATTTAATTCATACGCTGAACTTTCACTGAGGGTATGTTTTCCCCCACCCCTCAAAAGAAGAGCATGAAAGTGGTATTTAAAAGAAAGTATTTTTTAATGCAGGGGGAGGCAGAAGGGAAAATGCAATGCCGTGGCCATGAACTTGTAGTAAAGGTACACTACACCTTTAAAAATAACTTTCTTCCAAACATTTTTTTCTACATTAAAACAGCCTTAGACGGTCCTAATATGACTTTTAGAAAAAATACTCTATAAAAGTATACTAGTACTGGGCTGGCCGAGTGGCGCGTTGGTTAAGAGCTGGCTTGGGACACCAGCTCTGAGCAGCAGGGCCCCGGTTTGGATCCCACATGGGGCCAGTGACTTGCCATAGGCTACCGTGTGTGGCTGGCAGCCAGGGTGAGCAGCTGGCAGCCGGTGTGAGCTGCCAAGAGCCGCCATGAGCGGCGGTCCAGAGGCTGGCGACCAATCTGCCTCACCCGGGAAGAGCGCAATGATAATACCAACATGGGCCAGTGAAGCAACGTCCTCCACAACTAGACTGAAGAACAAAAGGACAGCAACTTGTCTGCTCCCCTCCCCCAATTCCCCAATAAAAATCTTAAAAAAAAAAAGTATACTAGTACTTTTTCATATTTTCTTTACCGGTTACTGAATATAACAGAGAAAAAGTTAAGAAAACTGGAATGGTTTTTAGGACTCTGATGTTATTAGAGGGTGTATGTGATATTTCAGGTCAAGCAGGCTTCTAAGAGGAAATCGACCCAAATTATGCTGATTCCTACACTGACAACTGTCAGGGCCAACAAAGCATTTGCGAGTGTAGAAGAAAAGGAGAAGTACAAAAAGCTCAAATCAAAACACCAAACCTAGAAAGTTTTGTTAAAACCATAAAACGAAGTACCATTAAGAAACAGTAAGAGTTTGGTATAGAGATTGAACTGGATGTATAAACGATAAAAACATGTCATGCATCTGTGATACATTTTATGTTTTTTTCAATTAAATTTGTCTAGAGTAAAGCAACAAAGTACTGCTATTATAACAACACTATGGATATGGAGAAAAGCTCATCATGCAGAGCTTGACATCTGACGCCACTGGTTCAAACAGTCTGTGTGTCCGACAGCCCTTCACCAGCACAGAGCCCTCTGCTGAGTCCTCCCCAGCTTGCTTTACAACAGGTCACTGGGCCCCACCTTCAGAGCTTCCAATGAAGTTAAATCTAGACTGAGGCCCAATAATTGGCACTTCTAACAAGTTCCCATATGGAGATGATGAGGCAGGCTTGGGGACCACACTTTGAAACCAGTGGGCCTAGAAAAATTTTGCTGAAGGCACATATTAATGAAGTGAGTTAACAATTCAAATTTTGCCTCTTCAAAATCTATTTTCATGTAGTCTATATAAGAACCCCTCAATTTTAAACTGTGCAAATGTCATTACTTAATATCCTATTACTTTATACAGTGAGAGGGGAGCAGTTTCCCAGACCACAGCAGACCATGAGGCCTGACACTGCAGGGATTCGAGGCTTTCAGTGCTACACCTGGGGCAGTTTCAGTGAAGCCTGATGGTTGGCTGGTGTAATCACCAAAGAGGGAACTTGTAGTAAGAATGCAGAAGTGTGCAGGCTGTATTTTAGAGCTCAGATTTACTCAGCCTTCTCCTTTCTTGCCATGAACTATTTCAAGGGTCATTTATTGATAAATGAAAACAAAAGTAAAATTAGCCTACCAGTCTGAAAATAGCTTAGTATTTGCCTAGACCCCTTATCTGAAAAGATGATGCATCACTAAGAAAACAGGCATTTGGAAAGTATTTGAGGAGCTCTTACAGAGTAGATTTCGTAGATTCCTTTGCGTCCCTCATCACATTCACGGCGAACCCAATGTCTATTGAGGTAGGCACATATTCCATTCAGCACTTTGCTGGAAAATCGGTAATCTTCCCACTGCTGAGTGTAGAACTTCAGTACACTCTCATCCATTAAGTCTTCTCCATCCTAGAAACAAAGTAACCAAAGTTTTAAAATGACCAATTTGTCACACGATAAAGATAAACGTTAACCAAAATCTACTGCACTAAAACACATTGATGTATATGGTTTTAGATGGGTTCTTTAAATTATCCTGTATACAAAAATATATCATTAATGTAAATTCTCACAAGAATATAGCTCATGAGAATTAGACTAGAGAGAGAATTTTAATAAAAATTCTTTCATCTCAAATTGGAACTTTTCCCATGGTATTAAATATGCATATATACCCATAAGAAGCATGAGGGTAATCCCTTTTTGTTAACAAATAAGGAATTTACCTCGAAATCATCCTTTAGATATTTTCTCTCCAATAAAAAATTAACATGTCCTGTTAAGAATTTAGATCATGGGGCCAATACCATTATTTTTTAATTCGTCTTCTTCCTGCTTTATATTTACTTAAAAATTATAAAAATCTAGAGATTTTTGTGGTAATCTGTCACATTTTTCTAAAAATAAGTGCAATGGTACAATGTTTCTTCTTTAACAAAACCTCATGAGGAAAATGTGCATTAACCAAAATTATTTTTACTGAGATTTCCCCAACTTAAACCACAAATTTTTATTTGAACTGAACTAACTTGAAATTTTTTTCTTAGGTTTTAATGACATCTCTAGAGTAAGTGTTGGCCTTTAAAAACTGAGCATTCACTTGCAGTGTCATTGAAATAGCTGCAGCAGGAAAGCAGGAAGGGTGAAGGGCGAGGCTGGAAGGAGGGAGCACTCTGGGAAGCGCGGGCCTGGGTGCCCGGGAGCCTCTCAGCCTGTGTCCTCACTGCAGAACAGCTCCCTAAATGTACGGTCCACAGCAATCCAACAAGCCACATGGGAACCTGACCATATCGTGATACAACCAAATTGTTGTTCATTTAAATTTAAATAATAAGAAATGAACTACGAAATATAAAGTAAATTTCCAATTAGCTCATAAAACAGGTTAAGGAAAACAATTCTGGAGCATGCTGAAAATTATGCCTGTTATCTGTAAATCAAAAATCTTTAAAATGTATCCACAGAGTGCACATTTCCCAGAGTGGAGAGTACAGATGCCTTCACTCATTCTATTTAATATGTGTGGCCCCAGGTGAAGGAGCCCCCTCCCCCCCCATCCTGTGGCTGAAGGGAAGGCATCACACTGCCTTTTGTTACAGAGGATGGAGACTGGGAAGAAAAAGGCAGACGACAAAGCGGAATAACTCCATTCTGCCCAAGCAAAAGGCTCGAAAGCCTCAGAGCAGGAGGAGCCCACACGCGAAAGCAATGGTGTTCTAGTGAACCCCATCTGAGCCAGGGGCACAATTTCATTGTCGTTCTGAAATAGACTACAGACCACTCTGTAAAACGCAAGATCACATTGCAAAGATGTGATTACCAGAGGCTGGATAACCTTACAATCATTGATACATTTTGATTCAGAGCAGCACATCAAGTTCAAAATACAATATAGGTGATATGAATTCATGACTATATGCTTCAAGAGAAAAGGTTCAACAATTTCTAACAACCCAAGCACAAAATGGTTAGCAAGTTGAGTAAATTATACTACTATGGTGTAAAGTTATCAAAAACTTCTGATTTAACAAATTAAAAGCCAGAGCCCGGCTTATGAAGGTTTCATCTTCCTAACAGGCCAAAGACTAAGTTACAGCGAGACATTCTCCCGCAAACGACAGTGACGAAAACAATGAACGAACGACAGTGAATGGTTTAGCACAGAAATTAGAATGATTTCACTACTTTTTTTCAACATTCTACTGTAAATGTTCAGTACAAAGATGAAATGTCTTACCTTAAGGAGATTTGTCAAGTAATTCTTCAAAAATTCTTTAAGCCTTTTGTATAATTCCAAGCCAACAAATTGAGCTCCCCCGGGAGTCTGCCCCTTTTTCGATTTAGAAGGAGGGACGCCAGCGCCTCGTGCTTGGTTCGACTGGTGAACACTCGTGCAGTAGTTATAAACGTGACTTGGAGGGAAGTTAAGGAAACATCACTGAGGTGAAAAGTGATTAACAGAGATTTATTTAAGGAAGGTCACCAGGAAAACATCGGACCTTCTAGATCATCTGATGCGATTTTCTTGTGGAAAATTGTCCTACGAGTGTATGAGAAAGCATGAACAGAACTGGCCATAGATACAGAGGAAAAGCCATGAATGAAAACAGCCATTATCTACTTCAGTAAAACCAAAAGCTCATATAACCAGTCTATTATGGTGCATAGCTTTAGTCCCAGAATCATACAGTATAAATATAGAAATAACCAAAACTTTATTTTAAAGTTATTTAAGTGGATTTAAACAAAGCTATACTTTGAGAATCAAGGACGAAAAATGGAAGAAATGGCAGTGCAAGAGACCAAGTCTTCTTACTACAGGAGAGTCACACAGAGGTCTAAAACTGATGAACCACAGAAAAGCAGTACACACGCACTACGGAGAACTGCGGAGATGTGTAAAAACAAAACAAAACAAAAACAGGAAAAAGCTAATGTCTGAAACAGCTACCTCTTGGGAGGTGGCAGTGCCGACCAGGGGGAAATGGAACAGATGAGGCAGAGAACCACTCTGCTTTGTTATAACCTTTCAGACTGGTCAGTGTATCTGCATGCACTTTACTTGGATAAAATTAATAGACAGACACTGATACTGTTTCAGCCTGAAAGAAAAATCAATAGAACAGAATACTCTGGTATATTTTATTAACTTACTATAAAAGATATTTCAAGATATTGGGTAAAGACAGATTATTAAATAAATGACATGGCAAGAGGCAATTAAAAAAATAATCCATATTCTAAAATATTACAAATAGATTAAGAGTTAAAATATATAAACTGAAACCATAAAACAAAGAAAATACACAAGAGTATTTCCCTGATATCAGGCTGGAGAAAACCTTTCTAAACAGTCACATAAATAATTTGAAAATATTTTAGTAAAAAATACCTTAAACAGTTACTATTTTTAATAAGCTAAGGTAATTTAAAACAATATGAAAAAATTAATCTCTATAGAAGTATGAGCAAAATTCCAACAGAAAATCTAAAAGCTAAAAGAAATATGTATTAGCGGCCCAAATCCCCTCCAAATCGTCAGCCTCAGTAGTAATCACAGAACTATGTCTTAAAACAATGCATCATTTCATTCAATGTTTCAAATGTAGAGAGAGTCACAGATTACAATACACAATCAACTCTCATAAACTCATGGCCCAGCCTGGAAAAACTCTTAACTATATTCCCACTCTTGTCTCATTCCATCCAAATCCCTCCCTCAACTTTTTAGGAAATGAAATAGTACAGATTGTAACAGAAATTATCTCCTGTTATTATGTACCCCTCCCCTTCACTTTCCCTAGGGACAAGTATCCCCATGATTTGGTGTCCATCATTCCTCTGGATGTTTTTATATTTTACTGTGTAACTAAATATGAAATTATTTTACCTATTTTTAAATTTTAGATTACACAAATTACAACATGTACATTTGCTTCTGATAACAGGTGAGATAATTACAGCTGTATGCAATATACTATGTAATATAGATTTATAATAATTTATCCATTCTCTTGTTGATAGACCCTGCCAATGCTCATTTTGGCAGGTTCCAATATTGGCATGATTCTACTGTATTTTGTTTTAAATCTGATGTTCACTTTGAGGTTTCTAATCCACTTTGAGTACAACTGTATATGAGGAGAACCAACGGTTCACACGCCATGTATGAAATTGTCATTTCCCACTATCCCTATTGCTATTTCTAGAAAACTGTCTATTTTGATGTTTTCAAGTATATTGCCCAGTTGTTCAGTCTTCTCTTTAAAAAGATACCTTATTTTAAATGTTTTATGATTAATTTTGCCAGAGCCTTGTTTATGAAGTCTTTTTAAATAACCAGTATTTTCATTACTGTATATTTCATTTCTGTTCTTTTTAATTTACTTTATATTTACTTTCTGTAAATCTTTGTTTTGGTTGATTAGCTTTGTCAACTCTCTGTTCTTTTTAATATAAGCACTGAAAACTACTGATTTTCTGCTCCACACCAAGATGTGGTGTTTTCTTTATTCAGTTATGTATTTTTTCCATTATTAATTAGGTCTCTTAAGAGTTATTTAGAATTTCTTAGATTTCCCAAGTAATTTTTTTTACCTTAAAAAACCCTTAATTACATTCTAAAAACAATCAGAGAATGTTATCTTTTTGATAGTTTGTTTAAAATGTGATGAGACTTATAATTGAAGACGTGATTTTCTTTGCATGTGCTTGAAAAGAATGTCTATTCTCTAACTGTTGGTTGGATACAGGGACCCATTAGAGCAAGCTGGTCAGCTCTGTTTTTCAAATCTTCTATATTGTTGGTGATTTGTCTGTTTATTAAAAATTACTGAAATCTCCTATCTAATTATGGATTTGTTAACTTCTCTTACAATTCTCTACAGTATCTGTCATGTATTTTGAGGCCCTGTTAAGAAGCATACAAATTTGGAATTATATTCCTGGTGACTTGTTCTTTTTATCATTAGGAAGCAATCATGTCTATTCCTAACAATAGTACCTTAGAAATCTACTGTTTCTGATATTAATATAGCTATTCCTATCTTATGGTTAGAATTTCCCTCAAATATTGGGTTGTCGGGAAAGTCATGATTTTTCTGTTTTTCGCTGCAAAAATGCATAATGACTTTTCCGACAACCCAATATATTCTATCTCTTTACTGTCAACTTTTATGCCACAGTGTTTTGCTGTGTATGCACACCACCAGAGGAAATTTCATTTTATAGAAAGATTGAATTTGACAGTTTCTGAAGGGCAAGTTTGGTTTTAAGATTATCCAGTTTTGTTATTTGGATTAACTTCTATCATCTTATTTTGCATTTTCTATTTTAATTATTTTTTTCTATGCTTGTTTTCTCCACTTTCCCTCCCCCTGGGTCAATATTCCCTGGTTCCACTGTAGTTATTTTATTATGTTGGGGTTATACATTTTATTTGTATTCTTGTAATGGTTACTTTAAAATTTGACATGCATGTTTTGCCTTTCACCAATTCTAATAAATTCTCACAAGTTACCTCTCTTCTTCAAATATTTCCAATCCTTTCTATTTTCTCCTCGCTTTTCTACTATATGTATGTTGGACATTTTCACATCACATTCCGTATCTCAATTTATATCTTCAGTTATTTGCCATCGCTTTATCTTTGTTCAAACCTAATTTTTCTTGATCTACCATCTGGTTAAGTGGTTCTCTTTTAGCTGTGTCAAATTTGCTGTTTGCTTTTAAGGATTTTATTTTACATTTGTAGAATTTCCCTGTTTCTTTTAAAATTCTGTCTTATTTCCCATAGTTTTGTTCCTTTGTATTTCTGATTCATTTACATCACCGTTTTTAAAATATTAGAGGCACTCACTAAAGATCCTCTAGCAATCCTTTAGACATCCCCAATTCTGCAGTCCATTTTATATGCTGACGTGTTCCAGTGGACTCGCTCCTCCACTTTGTAACTTTATATATTTGTAGACTCGTTTTAAGTGGGGTTTTCACATTAATTTCCAACTTGAGGAAATCCTGCAACAAGTTGGCAGTACAAACTCAAACCCCAAACACATCCGAGGTGACAAATTCTCAACAGCCTTTCCCCACACCCCTCACATCCAGAACTCAGCTCAAATACTTTCCTAGTTGTCTCCCTAGGAGAGCGGCTCAATTATTTTGTTTTCTAGTTCAGCTCTTCACTGAAGATTTCCATGGAAACACCAGCACCACCCCCACTACTTGCCCAGGCACAGGCTTTGCTTCCTTTTCTGTGTGGCCGCCATCCTCCAGCCCACCTCTTGTCCAAATCCCCAAAATCTATCACACTGAGGCTCATAATTTTTATCTAGCACCCGGTTCTAGGTGTTTGGTTCCAGGAAATTTTTTTGGTTATCTAGTTGAGCCTGACCTCTGTTATTTGGCAATATATTAATCTCCAGCTATTAAATTAACAAAGGTCTTTAAGAATAAACAATGAAACCCAATGAGAGCCAAAGTACAGGAAAATGGGAGATTGTATCCATTGGGATCAGAGTGTACTCTTATACTTTTTCTGGAATAAAATTTGAAAATATTCAAAACCCAAAAAATTCTTTTTGATACAGCAATTATACTTATGAGCATTTACATGGAGAAATTATCACGGAAGTATATAAACACTTACCTAGCAAACCATCACAGAATTGCACAGTTCTGGAGGGTAGAAATCCAAGATCAAGGTGATATTGGGGTTGGTTTCTGGGGAGGATTCTCTTCCTGACCTGCAAACGGCTGCCTTCTCCCTGTGTCCTCAGAGAGAGCTCTCTGGTATCTCTTCCTCTTCTTATAAGGACACCAATCCGATAGGATTAGGGCCCCCGTCGTATGTCCTCATTTAATCCTAATTATTCCCTCAAAGGTCCCATCTTCAAATACTATAAAATTGGGCTTAGAGTTTCAACACATAAATTTTGGGGGTATACATTCACTCCATACCACCACATATGATATGCTTATATAAAATGTTCAGAATAGACAAATCTATAGAAAGTAGATTAGTAAGTGGTGGGGGAGTAAGGCGGTGATAAGGGGTACAGCATTTCTTTTTGATATAAGTGTTCTAAAATTCAATGTAGTGATAGTTGAACACACCCGTGAATATACTAAAAACCACTGACATATACACTTTAAACAGATGAATTCTATGACATGTGAATTATATCTCAATAAAATTATTAAGAAAAAAAAATCAATGCAATCCCAATTGTAATCCCAGCAGCTTTTAGGGTAAAAATTGAGAAGCTGAAAATAAAATTTATAGAGTAATGCGAAAGACCTAGAATTGGCAAAATAATCTTGGGGGTGGGGAAGAAAACAAAGTTGGAAGACTTATACTACCTGACTTCAAGAGCTTTCAAAATGCTACGTAATTAAGAAATCACAAAAAATG